AGGTACAGGAGACTGAACCTTTCCACTTTTATAGGGGAGTCCTCTTTCGAAGATGCCAGTACTGGTTAGCAAAGATAGAGAAGGCCTTCAAGATATTAGGAGTGGTTCCCAAACAGAGGGTTACCCTTGCTTCCTACATGCTGGTGGGGGAAGCAGGTCGTTGGTGGGAGCTCAAGTAGACCACCCTGCCTACACAAGTCACTTGGGAGCAGTTCTTAGTAGCCTTTCATGCGGAGTACCTCCTCGAGCACATCCGACATCTAAAGGAGATGAAGTTTGTCCAGCTGATACAAGGAAACATGACAGTATCAGAATATGCTTGTAAGTTCCTAGAGCTGGGCTGATACTCCCCTGAGACATTGATAGATGAGGGCAGGAAGGCTAGGAGGTTCTAGTGGGAACTCCGCCCAGAGATCAAGCAGCACTTATTGGTACTAGAGCTCAAGACATATTCAGCCGTTTTGGCAAAGGCGCAGATCGTGGAGAGGAGTTTCAACACCCTTTTTCAGTCAGCAGGGAGTTACAGACCCTCAACTCCACCTTACTGACCAGCACCTACTGCGCCTGTCCAACAAAATAAGAGGCCTAGACCGGCGATCCAGGCTCCCCCTCAGGCTCCAGGGGCAGCACGTGGCAAGATCTGTCAGCACTGCGGCAGGGATCACGGGGACCGACCATGCTATCATCTCAACAACACCTATCGCATATGTGGTAGTACCCAACACTTTGCGAGAGAGTACCCGAGGAACCAGAACCAAAGAAGACCTTTTCAGGGCAGGATTTACAACATCACACAGTAGGATGCCGATGCCGACCCGGACGTGGTACAGGGTATGTACATTATCTGTAACCATATTGCTCATGTTTTATTTGACACTGGTGCATCGCATTCATTTGTTTCACATATTTTTGCATCCAAACTTAATGTATCACCTGATAAAGTTGATTCAATGTTATTTGTGTCTACTGCTGGGGGTGAAACACTATTAGGGGAAGTTGTTTACAGGGCTTGTGCCGTGGAGATAGCAAATAGAAAACTGAGTATAGACCTAATAGGGTTAGATATGGAGGATTTTGATGTAATTTGAAGAATGGATTGGCTAGCAGTGTATCACGCCACCATAGATTGCTTTAACAAGAAGGTTGTATTTAATCTTCCTAATGAAGAGCCATTTATAAATTAATAAAATCATTTAGTACTTATTCCTTTATGGTAAGTTTCCTTAATTTTTAAGTACTTTAACCTTGCTATTTTCTCTAACTAGGCAAGCTCAAGAAAGAAATTTGTATCCAAGAGATTTTGGTAGTCCGAGACTTTCTAGATATGTTTCCGGACGAACTACCCGGACTGCCAGTGGACAGGGAAGTTGAGTTCACTATAGACCTACAACCAGGCACCCAGCCCATTTCGGTTGCTCCTTACCGCATGAGCCGCGTTGAGATGGAAAAGTTGAGGAAACAGATCACTGAATTGCAAGACAATGGTTTTATTAGACACATTGTGTCTCCTTGGGGTGCCAAAGTCACTTATGTTAGAAAGGGAGATGGAACGTTGAGACTGTGTATTGATTACAG